CTCCTTCCCTCTTCCTTCCTTCCTTCCTTCCTTCCTTCCTTCCTTCCTTCCTTCCTTTCTTTCTTTTCTTTCTTTCTTTTTTTCTCTTTCTCTCTCTCTCTTCCTTCCTTCCTTCCTTCCTTCCTTCCTTCCTTCCTTCCTTCTTTCTTTCTTTCTTTCTTTCTTTCTTTCTTTCTTTCTTTCTTTCTTTCTTTCTTTCTTTCTTTTTCTCGAGACAGGGTTTCTCTGTATAGCCCTTGCTGTCCTGGAACTCACTCTATAGACCAGGCTGGCCTCAAACTCAGAAATCCTCCTGCCTCTGCCTCCCAAGTGCTGGGATTAAGGGCGTGCGCCACCACTGTCACGTGGGAGTTTCTAATATCGAGTCTAAGGAATAAAACATTCCTTTTCTTTTCCACTCTTTCTGAAGTTTAGGAGCCCCACTTTAGCAGAATTTAGACTGTGTGTGCGCATGTGCACATATATACATGTTTTGAGACAGAATCTCGTTATGTAGCCCAGGTTGGCCTTAAATGTATTATGAAGTCCAGGCTGGCCTTGACCTCATGGCGGTCCTTCTGTCTTAAGCCTCCCAGGTGCTGGGGTTATGGGCATGAGGCAGCCTGGGGGTATAGCTAACCGCATCTGTAAAGAATGGGTCAGAAAGGGGTGTCTGCGCTGAGTGGCCACTCAACTACCAGGCAGGCTGCTGTGCTAGCACCAGCACTCAGAAACAACAAAACACCACCTCAGCTGTCCAAAGGCAACGGCCGTGAGATGTCCACAGGTGGCCAGCAGTGCTTTCGGACCCACGCTGCTTAACCTTAACTGTTTTCCTTTCCACTCAGCATCTCCAATTAAAAGAGAGTAAGCCTTTGTGGTGTAACCTGGGAAAAACCCCACGGTTTGAAGCCCATCATGTGACAACAGAAAAAAACATGTGTGAACGGCTACTCCGTGTGCAGATGTCTGGTTATGCGTGGTGATAAAAACGCACTTTCCTGCTCTGGTGGAAACGCAGGCACCTGCTGAGCCAGCCACCCAGAAGCCTGCATTCCAGAGTTTGGTGTTTCCTAGCAGGGTTGCCTGTGGAACTGCCTATAATTATGAACAGCAGCAGCAGGCTCAGTGTCTGACACCACAACTGTTGCTAGAGCTGTTCCTGGAACCTGGACAGTCAACTTGGGGAAGGCGAGCTTTTCCGTCTTCTGCCTAGGAACCAGTGGGAGATGGCAAATCTTACCAGTCCCCAGGCAGGCTGTCACCACTCAGGTACAATTCTATCTTGAATTTATGTTCATCCTGATGCAAACCAACATTTTAAAATACACGAAATATGTAATCACCTCTGACATAGCCATGTCAGAAAGAAGAGACCCCTTAACCGAGAGATTACAGGCAAGGCCTTGGAGCTGGAACCAGTGAAGGTAAAGTGGGGAAACTGAACTGACTGGAGACTGGACGCGCACGAGGGGAGGGGCCTCTCTGCTTAGCCCTGCAGACAGATGCAGGAGGCAGAGAGAAGACACCACAAGAGGAACAATGAAGGAAACAGGAGGCAGGAAAGAGTGAGACATCATGCAGATGGTGGCCTAGGGTGAGTAAGACCTGGGGCAGAGGCTGTGCCGGCAGCGGCGGCACGTGGGCAGAGGTGGGTGGGTGAGGGAGCAGGGGAGTGTTGGCTGAGACAGTGCTGTGTGAGACACAGGAGCCTGGGCACTATGGGCACACTGGTGCAAACAGCCAGCGCTAGGGGTCCTGCAGTGGACATAGGGGACATGGGCTGGCACAATGGCACGAGCCTCCTTCACTTGGAAAGGCGTTGAGTTCAGAACTTCATTTGAGGTCAAACTGATCAAGGTTCCCTTAGCTCTGCCTTGCCCATCCCAAGCTGTGATGTCATGGAGAGACAGGGAAAATACTTCATGTTCGCCGTGGGACGCATCCCCCTCTGGTAGACAGAAAGCCTTAGGCATACCCTATGCATTTCCCAAGGAGTACCTGCACTGCCCACTCGGCCTCTACACCTTCCTGACTTGCGTGGTTGACATTGCTTTTCTCCCGACCAACTGTTAAAAATGAAAATTGCAAACATTTTAAACGTCTCTGATATCAACGGTGTTCACATAAAACTTACAAACTTTTGGGGGCTATTCTGTAGAGGGTTACACGAATTCCATAAAAGAAACCCAAACAGTGGTTCTAACAGGCAAATACGTGACCGAATTTCTCCCCCCCCCCCAACCCCACCTCATCAACCCAGATCCTTTTGTCTCTTGTCCTCAGTTTCCAGCAGGGTCTCCCAACCTGTCCTGTCCCAACAGTCAAGTCTGTTTAAAGAAATGTGGAATCTCTTTGGGGAAATGGTGAAAAATAAAACTGAGGGCCAAAGAAAGTGCTCACACCACCGCTCAGACCTTAGGTTTTAGCTATAGCTTGATTTGTTTTTTTGAGCTAGGGTCCTGCTACATAGCCTGGGCTAGCCTCAACTTCCCAAGTGCCAGGACCAGAGAGGCCTGGGCCACCACAGCTGGTATGTTCTGCAGGCATAACCGAGCATTTCAGGAGTCTAATTCCAAATGTTCTCAAGGAAAGAAGAGTTTATCATTCATTTTGAATATTACCTGTGAGCCTATACCTTGGAAACACCTTCGTCTAGACAGCGAGACTCAACTGTGCTCTGGCTCAGAGGTTTAACCACAGACACTTGAAGCTAAGCAGTGTTGTCGTTCTCAGATGTTTAAACTATTCTAGGTCCTTTGTGTTTCCACAGCAACTTATTTTAGCTTCTTACTCTTTTTCAAAGACAGGCTCTTTACTAGGTAGCCCAGCTAGCTTCAGACTTAAGATCTCCTGTTCTGTCTCTACTCCATAGAATTTCAGAATCGGTTCATTTTTGAGCCTGGGTTGACCTCTGAATTTGTTACATAGCCAGGGATGACCCTGACATCCTGGTTTTCTTGCCTTTACCTATAACCAGCACTGAAGTTACAGAAGTGCACCGTCATGCAGGGTTTATGCTGGGCTGGGATACGTCAGGTCTTTTTGCAAACTAGGCAAGCACTTTACCAACTGAGCTATATCCCAGGCTTGCCCTATTCTTAAGGGGAAAAAGCCTGCTGGATTCTAATGGGTAAGTTACTCTGGGGAGAACTGACTTCCCCGTGCACGGCATCTCCTGCCTCAGGAGCCCGAGCCACAGAGTTTTCAAGGAGGACGGCTGATGTTTTAAGAATGTCAATTATAGAAACTTCAACTAGCTGACAAAGAGCAGATGTGTCATGGGAGCCTCTCTCAGGGCAACCCTGCCAAGGCTGCTCAGAAAGGGACCCGTCACCCACGATGGCTGAAGGACAGCTGGGAGGCTCTGTGGCTCCAGAGCCCTCCGACACCGGGGCCCACTTTTTGAGGCATTTTAAAGGTGTACAGTGACTTTGCTTTGTGTTCTTGTTCCAATTGCTGACCTTGTAAAGCACAGGGCACAAGTTATAGTGAATTGTGACCAAGGCTGAAGGATGTACCAAAGGAAAATTTCCTTTGACCCTTCAAATACTCAATGTATGGGAAGTAGCTCCCAAGTTTTCAACTTCTTCTACATTTTATACGGCCCAAGTATCTTAAAATTGAGGAAAAAGTCACAAATTTCCAGGTGGGCTTCCCCACTGTCCAGGAATGTGGGGGTCTTAGACAAGTCACTCAGCTGGGCTGCCACTGGCAAACGTGGGGGCTGTAAAGTCTAAGTGGAAATAAAAAAGGTGACCTTAATTCCTGTCACAAAGAAATCATGGAGGAAAACTGTCTAATTAGAACACAGGAAACACATGAGTTTCTCTTTCTTTTCTATCCTTCTCTCCTACTGGCCTTCTCTGTTTTTCTTCTTCCTCCCCCCCCCCCCAGGAGGGTCTCACTGTGTGGCCCAGAATGACCTTCAACTCACGACTCTCCTGCCTTGGCTTCCGGAGCTCTGGGATTATAGGCCTGAGTAACCATGACCAGATGAACTCTTGATGAGCCCTATGCATTGCTAAGAAAAACCATTATGAGCAAAGCGTGGAGTTCAACTAATTGCTGACGGTCAGTAGGTCAGTAGGTCAGTAGGTCAGTAGGTGGCCACTGAGCTTCTCCATTGAATTTCTAGTGTGCTCATTTATTCATCTAGACAAAATTCAATTGAAATCAATGGCTGAGGATGCATATGGCAAGTTTAGGGCCTGGGTCCTCCTTGCTCAAGACTCTGACAGGGAGCCTAGGGCTCCAAATCAGACAACCATGTTGCAATGGGGAAAAGGAACAGCCACAAGCATCTGTTTATGTCATTTACACATGAGACATGGGCTCCTGGGGCACCGTTAGCAGCAATCATGAAGAGAAGCTGCTGCAGCCCCTCTCATGGGAGGCCTTGGAGCGCTTGTGTGTGCTATACGGGGTGGGGTGGGGACCACAGACCAGTTCAGAAGGCTCCACTCTGGTTCTGCAGACATGTCTGGGGAGGTTCAGCTGGCTAGAGTGCCCACTCTTGGTAATGCCACATCCTGTTTTAGTCAGGGGAGGGGTTCTCTGAATTAGAGAATCCTTCTGTATCTTTAACTGAGCTCCACGGGATGCCATGGGCAGTAAGGAGCAATAAGGGGTCCTCTATCACATTCTAGAATTTGAGCATTAATGTCTAGGGACTCCGTCACTGGTCAAAGGGGGCTAAAAGTTTCAAGTCAGAATGACCACTGCATCCAGGTCCATTCAGGGCACTGATGACACATCCTGAGTACAGGGAGCATGCCCAGAGGAACAGACTTTTAGGACCCACAGAGGAGTGCAGTGGATCACCTTCTTTAAACCTTTCTGTATGTTCTCATTTTGGTAGAAAGAGATCTCTGGATTAAAAATGCTCTAAACCACTGCACAGAGCACAGTGCCGCTGGAATTGCTGCTGGCACAGCCCTGGCCTGCCATTGGGACCCTGGACCCTGAAGGAAGCCAAGCTTCCCACCTTGGGTATCCTGGGAGGTGCGGGGTGTAGCACCTGCTATGAAGAACTAAGGGGGCGTGTCTGTGGATCAGAGCAGGCGTGAGAGGCTGCAAGGGGAAGGTGAATGGCAAGAGGCCACTGCGAAGCTTTGCTGTTGCTCAAGCTAACACACAACAGTTAGAGTTGGGTTTCGGTTGCTAAGAGAAGTAAAGCAACAGACTGCAGGCACACACTTGATTGCTAAGAACCTTCCTAGCAGCCTGACCGCTCAGATCTATAGCTTAGCAGAACGTGACGGACCCGTCAAAGCACATCTGTAGCAGGGATAGCCCTGCTGTGCTCAATGCACTTTTTACCTGACGAGTCTCGTCGCTCACGGTCTTTTTCAGCATCTGCACATCTTCAAACTGAGGCCCATCTGTCTCCATGGCAACTGGAATGCTCACGGCGCTGGCTTGACTATACACTGCATACTGCAATGCAAAGTATGGAATCACTGTCTGTTGGGTGCTGGGTCTGCACTTAGGGTCCTCATCCTGCATGGGCTGCTGGCCCACTGCCCTTCCCTGAGTCTCTCTTCTACAAGAAGCCATGTAGTGGGAGACACATTCGCCTACTTGCCCACTGATGGAGCCTGTGGGCTGCTGCCTGTAAGATGCTAGAAAGGGGTTCACCCTCCTACAGTCTGGGCTATGTGAGTGAGCCTCTGCTGACCCCAATATCACTTCTGCATCTCCCTGAGTTCATGTAAAGACAGCCAGCCTATAGCCCTTTGTATCTCTGGGCCAAAACACTGAAGGGGAGCTGTCCATAGCAGAAGCAGGGACTCTCCTTCACCTCCTCCCTGGGGCAGCTGCCCCCAAATCCTTTCCTTCATTCCATGTCCCTAGGATTTTCCTAAGACCTTAAACCTTTCAACACAGCTCAGCATCCTAATCCAAACTGACATAGCCTGGCCTATAGCTAGGATTCCTCTAGCCTGACCCTGGTGTCAGGCTGACTGTGTCTTGGGACCCTGTACTCAGCTTCCTCGCCTCTCCAGTGTGGTTTCTACTGTCTTCTCTGGGCACATCAGGCCAGGTGGAATGACAGGCAGCCTCCCACCTGCTTGTACCACTGACTTCAGGCTTTGTGAGCAGAGGGATACAGCCACAGCTTATAAACTGCTGGCAGCTGCCCTCTCTGTGTGGCGAGGTCAGGGAGGGACTGAGTCGGTGTCTGCTGCAGGCTGGGGGTCATGCCCGGCTCTTCCCTTGTAAAATAGGTGCTGCCAGGAAGCCCCAAGCCGGAAGGGGAAGCCGGGCCTTGTGTTCAGACTTATTTCTGCCCTTAGCTTCCATGTCTTCCGGCCAGCAGTTCTGCTCAGCCCAGTCTGGTTCCTGTTCTTAGTTCTCTAACAGGCCGCCTCCTGGTCACCAACCCTGTGTTCTGTTCGCTTTACCGTCCAGGCTGGGTCCTTGCTGTAACCTGGCACTCGGTGTCTTCCTACAGCCAGTGGCCTCCTTGCCGTTTGTGCTACCTTCTCAGCTTACCAGCCTCTTTCCTACATGTTCTAACAGTCAGCTCCCCATGGGCCGGGCCCTTTCAGCACACCATGGTTATGGTTGATATAACTGAAAAGTTTTCTAAACTGCAAGTCTGCCTGGGTCATTTTGCGCCTTATATACATTTGGAGGGAGTGTTATTACAGCTCCCGCAGGACCAGCTCGGGGTTTCTCTGCTGTTTTCTGACTCAGCTGGGTCTTGGGCCCTTGACTCAAATGCAGATTGAGTGACAACTGTCGAATCAGGACTCCCTGTGCATGCTCACTGGTCCTGCCTACAGACAAAAGCCACGCCCTCCTCCGAAACCCACGGCAACCCTCAGTTGCATGCTATGGTTTGGTACTGACCCCCTTATGTACCCTATGCTTTTAGATGCCAGGGTGTGTTTGACTCTCAAACTGGAAGTTTCCAGTTTGCTTCAGGATACACAGCGCCTTATCCTCCAGGTGCTCAAAGTCACCTGGGGAGGAACAGAGAAGAACATAGGTCTGCTGTGAGACAGCACTGGGGTTACTATCTTAACATGCTGGGATAAACCCAGTGTTTTCCACACAGCTGTACAGAAGTGGAAAGGACCCCGTGCCCATGGGCTGTGCTGGCTCATGGCAGATGAAGTCCACTCCCAGTTGGCACCGGCCTTCAACAGGCAGCAGCTCACAGGGGGACGACAGTGTACAGGAGGTGTGGACCTGGGCTTCATCCCCACCGCAGCTCAGGTGCACCTCTACCTCAGAGAATTGCTTTTCACTCACACAATACCCCAGGGGACAGCAGGGCGTGTGTGCGTGTGTGATAGACAGAGATAGAGAGTGTGTGTGAGAGAGAGAGAGTGTGAGAGAGAGCCTGCACACACATGCATGCATGCAGTAAGATGCCCAAGAGTCCTAGAGTCCATTTGGTGGGTTAGGACAAACAGATCCCTATTGGGTATGACCCGTGTTTTAAAATTCCTCATAAGTCACGTGACATGACAACCCAGGACAGTGGCTACAGCTGCCCAAACATGTCTTCCACCAACGTCCTGATCCCCCCTCCACGTGCCTGGCGGGGGCACTTCACATCTCTGAGTAGACGACACTCTTGTGTGATGAGATTTGCTTTGGGAAGACACCTCCTCAGAAGCTAGTAAGCACAGTGAGTCACTGGTAACCTGCCTTTGGACAGTGAAGTGCGTGCGCTCTCTCACCAAGGCTGACACGATATGGAGACCCCTTAAGACCCCAGCTAACTACCACCAAACAGAATCGCGTAATGCCAAGTACTAAGCAGAAATTAGGGAAGGCTTTTTTTCTCTCAAGAGAGTGAGTTCTAAGGCATCCTGCCAGCTCCGAGGTCTTATTTAACACATGAAGTATTTTCCACTTTAGAGACAGTGTGTCATGGGGCTGGGGCATGTATGTGGATGAGACGCTTGACTGTCACAGATGGTTCACACAGTGATGGGGGTGAGGACAGTGGGAAGGGAGGTCACCAAAGCTCTAGTGCCAAACCCACCACAGGTATGATATCACCAGACAGTTTAAAGGAGCCACCAAAAGGGGTAAACCAGGAAGCTTTGTTGCGAGGCAGTGGCAATCCCAGGCTCCAAGTGTTGACACAACAACCCGCTCTCATTTTTAGGTAGGAGCTCTGTGCAGTTTTCAACAGAGTACTTCCATATTCTAGGCAAAGCATGTCTTCCAAGGCTCTCCACCGGTTAGTTTAAAAACAAACAGAAAAACTTCCAAACAAACCAAGACCACCAGTGCAATGCCAGCAAGGCTGAGCCACCTAACTCTGCCCACGCACACTTTTGCCGAAGTTTTAAAACAACTACTGGTGCTTCTGCTCACTTTCAACACCGGCCCTGTCCATACACACAGGTCCCTGTAATTAAGCTACAGGCCTTAGAAGAACTTCTCTATAGGATGGAAAGTGCCGTCAGGGAAATGTGAGCTACTTGTTTTAGGTGGAACCGCAGATCTGCAACCGACTGTCAGTAAGTCTCCTCTCATCAAAGGGATGCAAGCCAGAATGCTGTGTCACAGGAAAATACACACTGATATCTTCATGTATTGTTTTTATTAAATGACAAAGATTAAAAAAACCCACATCCAACTTACATAATAATTTATACACACTTCTCACCAAAAAGAAATACACTGCTTAGTAAGATATTTTCTTCCCTGGAGAGCTGAGAGAAGCCTGAGAGATCTTAGTGTGGAAAAGGTCGGACATTTCATCAAGTGGCTGTTATAATCAGACACACATACAACAAGGAGAAAAGCAACACCCAATGACATTGATCATTCAGACCAGCAGAGGCAACACCCCAGTAACTGATCATTCAGACCAGTGGAGGCAACACCCCAGTAACTCTGATCATTCAGACCAGCGGAGGCAACACCCCAGTAACTGATCATTCAGACCAGCAGAGGCAACACCCCAGGACAATGGCTGCAAAGCTGTCCCAGGCTCTGCCAGCCCAGAAGCTAACACTGGACGGGGCTGCTGACTCACCAGCAGCTTTGACAGATACGACCATCTGCCTGGCTTCGCCTTGCGCGAGCACACTGCATCAGCTAGGGTAGAGGAACAGTTAGTGTGAGCAGGGCAGAATTCAGTTAGTTCTCAGCATCTTTCATCTGCTTCACCCTCATTGTCTCATGTATGAGAATAAAAAAGAATATGGTTCAAGTGACAGCATCTATGACATTCGAGCAAGAGAGGACATTACAATCTTAGAGGTTATTTCCTGGTTTTCTTTTTACCACATCATATCTTACTTTTAAAAAGAAGAGAAAAAAGTCAATTCTGTGGTAAAAGTTATGTGTGGCAAATAAGTACTTATACAAGAGGAAGGTTACAAAGTTGGAAAGTGTTTTTATTGCGGACATTTGCACATACAGTGTTAGTGACGTTGGCCTCCCTTCCTGGGGTGGAGCCAGGTCCTAGCGCATCAAACATTCACGCAAAGCCTCCACACTCCCGAGTTACTCTCTTTTTTAGTACCTGGGGATTCGCTTTGGCTAGATTTTCTATTTTAACCCATGCTTCTTCTCGCTCTTTCATTTTTAGCTTCTCTCTGAAAAACAGGAAAACATCATTTGTATTAGAGAAGAGTAGCATTCAGGCGGGTTAGGGGGGCGACATCAGGGAGACACCAGCACCACAGTCACGCTTTCCAGTGTTTTCTGGTCTTACTCCACATCTTACACTGTGGCTCTCAACATGTGTAACGTGAAACAAAAAACCTAAAAACTGGCCAAGAGTTAGACTAAAGATTCTTAAAAATTAAAAATTTAACAAGACTTTAAAACCTAGCACCCCTCCCCCATCTCCTTCCAGTCAGTCCAGTGTTCCCAGCTTGGCTGACTGCTGGCTTCCATAACCACTGCACAGGCGAGTCTGCAGAGGGGCAAGGAAGCCAGAGCTGGCACCCCAGCGGTGACAGCATTCCAAGGGAGACCAGGGTTGCTTCTCATTCCACTATTAGACACACCGAATTTGAGCCACTATTTTCTTTTTTTAACCCTCAAAACGCACCACCATAGGCAACTTCTGAAACACCACCACTCGACGCACCACTGCAGAGGTGGCTTCCGTCCCTGGGGGCTAAGCCCTGGTCTGGCGTGGCTCCCTGTGGTTCTGCCACCTAGTGCATTGATGACATGCATTCTATATTTTACCAGGGCGCTCTGCCTCACTCCACCTGCCCTGCTATGGCAAGGACTTTTGTTACAACCATTGCAGTATTACCAGGAACCAAAACAGAGCCTGATATGCAGCCAAAACTCACATATTATCTAAAAATTGAAGAAATGGTGGTAGGCTAGACAAACGTCCTGTAGTCCGTCTACCATAACCACTTTTAGGTGGTTAGCTGAAAACAAAATCTACCAATGGTTCACACTGAGTTGGGAAGAGTGATTTTTCTCTTCTTTTTTTTCTCTCTTTTTCTTTAAATAGATAGGGTCTCACTATATGCCTAAGCCTGGCCTTGAACGTGTAGTAATCCTCCTGCCTCAGCTCTCAACTCCTCTTCCGGAGTTGAGATTATGGACTTGTGTTGCTATGTCTGGTCTGAAAAGTGGCCTAAGTAAGTAAGTAAGTAAGTAAGTAAGTAAGTGCATTATTACTGTGCGGGTGTGCAGGTACAGGAGACAGCGTGAGTGTGGAGGGAGAGAACAACTCTGTGAGTCTCTTTCCATACAGGGTCTGAGCTCAGGCCATCAGACTTGTACAGCAAATGCCTTTACCCACTGAACCATCATGCCAGCCCCCACATGACTGTGCACCCAGCCTAGGGACAGAGCACAGCTTCTAGGGAGACACAGCCTCGGAGTCCCCACCTGCACAGAAGCAGCTCTCTGAAAAAGGTAACGGTAACTCAGGACAGTGGAAAGGCACATGCCCTTTGGTGACAGGCCACCATCAACCTTTAACCTTCCTAAACCAGAGCAGAACAGGGTTGCTTTACAAGTTCAAAGTTAAGAGTAACTCTGCAGGACAGATAGAAGTGTGGAATACTCAGGGACCTGTGCGAGGGGCCACTTACTTGAGTTTCTCTGCTTTGAACTGCTGGGTGCAGTCATCGAAGAGTTTCTGGTTCATCTCCATGAAGAGTTTCAGAGCATTGTATATCAAGCCGTGTATTGTCCTGCAGAGCGAATGCCAGAGTGAGAGGCCAACACTGGATTCTCCTCATCCTCTGCCTCCTGTCTCCTCTCCCTTCCCTTGAGCCCCCGGTCTCCCTTATCTCTGAGGTTCTACCTACTCTCAACAAGCTCACTCAGTTCTAATATGAGCTGCTAGTTGTGATTCAGTCATTTCCCGAGTCAGGGCTTACAGGCACCTGTCAGGCTAGTTCACCTTCCTAGCTAACAGCAGGCAAAGCCGCTTTGCCTGAAGACAGAATAGAAGAGGTTGAGTCCTGAAAAGAACTATGGGTAAGTTATTCAGACAGCAGTAACACAACGAATGTGCTTAGGCTGCTCCAAGGAGGAGAGGGAAGCTCTGGCATCCACATTTGGCGAAAGCTGAGTGTTAACCTCAGCATCCAACACGTCTGGCACCCATGGGGAGTCCCTTGCAGGGTGTGAGAGAGCTTTGCATGGGTGGACTGATTTCCTTTTCCTCTGAAGTGAAGGAAAGGAGAGGGGACTGAACATTCCTCATCCCCAGGCCATCTGAGTCACCCATTCTTCTCTTTTAGGCTCTAGGTAATGCCCACAGCAGGGTGGCCAATGAGTTTAACGATGGGCTTCTCTGATGTCATGGGATTGAAGGGCTACCTAAGGACTGGTGTGTTCACTGAGTTCCAGCAGGACTGAGTCCTATGAACTCTGCAGCGACCTCTGAACTTCCTTGGAGGCTCCAAGAGAGGCCTGAAAGGTGCTGTTGCTAAAACCAGCAGGGAGAGGGGTGCAGACGCATAGGCCCTGTGCTGGCGTGGCATGGGGTTGACAAGACAAAACAGGCCACGGAGACGATCCGCACTGTGGCTTAACTTAAAAAGTCAGTGAGCTGGGTAGGGGCAGTCGCACACCTTTAATCCCAGCACTGAGGTGACAGAGGCAGGTGGATCTCTGAGGTTGAGGTCAGCCTGGTTTATAGTGAGTTTCAGGACAGCCAGGGCTACACAGAGAAACCATGTCTGAAACAAACCAAACCAAAACCAAAACCAAAAAATCCCCCCAAACCAAAACAACAAAAGTCACAAAGAAACTGATGTTCACTTTAAAAGCTGATGGTAAATTGAGATTTCAGCTCTAACCACAGTGATGGCAAGGCATGCACTACTTAAAAGCGACCAGGAGCTAGCAGCCTCCGGTTCCTACTTGTTCCAGTGGGTCTTCGAGTTGCGGTATAAGGACGGGAACATGATGGGCAGAATCTTGGCTGCATTGTCACTGATTAGACTCATGATGTACTCATTGTTCCAGTAATAGAGCGCCCGCTCTGCCACCTGCAAGACACGGTGCACGAGTGTTGGTGAGCGCACGAAGGGAGGAGGCAAATGTTCCCACCGTTAGACTCCTGAGCACAGAGCTGTACCGGATCACACAATTACAATCATTTCTGTCTATTCTAACAGGCTAGGTTGTGACGCTGAAGAACAGTCAACGAAGAGGTAAAATGAGAGCTTACATATCATAGTACACACTGGCATTCACGTCTCCATTTATCCATTAAACACTCCTGAGACCACAGGCTGGATGCCAGCGCTGAGTCAAAGAGAAGCGAGTGTGTGTGAAGGCATCGGTCTGTGGTACATGCATGTGAACACGGACACACACACGTGGAGGCCAGAGGTTGACCCTGGGTGTCTTCCTAAATTGCTTTCCATCTTAGTTTTCAAGACAGGGTCTCTCACGAAATGTGGCTAGCTGGAAAGGACTCTCCTGTCTCTGACCCCCTACCCTCCATCCCCCACCCCTGTGCTGGCTTACAGGTGTGGTCAAGTGATGCCAACTAAGTACAGCCAGAATGTGGCGCAGCGACCACCTGCAGACCCTCAGAGCCAAGCACAGGTCTGCCACTGGAGCCTTGAGTGAGTGGGTGGGGCAGAAGGCAGCTGTGGAGGGTTCAGGAGTCGGGATTAGTTCTTCAGAGAAAGTGAGGAGAGGTGAGCTTTGCCAATGGGTAAGAACACATACAGAAATACAGCGTATGTGTTTGGCTTTGGTTTTTTAAAAAGGGCTAGTGAGATGGCTCGGGGTAAAGGTACTTGTGATCAAGCCTAATGACCTTAGTGTGGCGTCTGGGACCCACATGGTAGAAGACAGCCAACTCCTTCACACACACACACACACACACACACACACACACACACACACACCTCCACCCATCACACACACACACACACACACACTCTCTCCACCCATGAGACACACACACACACACACACACACACACACACACACACACCTCCACCCATCACACACACAGTTTTAGGATGCCTCTCTATTGCTCATGCTGAGCCTCTCACTCACCGAGCCTTGCATGCGCTGGGAATAAGGGTGCACACCACTATGAAAGACAGATAATTGTTTAAGAGTTCAAGACCATCTGTTTTCAATTTTGCTTTTTTTTAAAAAAACAAAATAAAACAAAACTATGCAGTTTAGGTCAATGCACAGCTGATAATCTTCCCACTCAGGGCCCCAAGTGTGGGAGCTACAGGTGTGTGCCATCATGCCCAGCCAATACCCTACCTGGATTTTGTTTTTTAAAGAAAATTACATTTATTACGTGCGTGTACATGTGTGGTATGGCATACCTTTGTAGCCCCAGGACAACATGGAGGAGTTGGCTCTCTCCTTTCACTATGTGGGTTCCAGGAATCAAACTCATTGTCAGGTTTGGGGGTGAGCACCTTTATCCGCTGAGCCATCTTGCTGGCCCTCAATTTTAATTTATGGTGTGTGTGTGCACCCATGTAAGCATGTGCTATGATGTTCATGGAGGTCAAAGGTCAACTCTGATCCGGTTCTCTCCTCTGACCCGAGTGTGGGTTCTGAATACTGAAGTCAGGTCACCCAGGCTTGCATGGCCAGCACCTTTCCTGGCTGTGCCATCTTGCTGACCCCAGTACTGTGTGTTCTTTTTTCACTTCTGTTTTGAGCTGGGGTCTTACTGTGTTGCTGTGGCCTGGAGCTCTAAATACAGCCCAGGCAGGCCTTGAACTCAGACCATAGCGAACAATAATGTATCCATAAATATTTATGGATATAGTAGTTCAACCCTCATTAGAAAACAGAAGATAAGGTGCCTGAACTGTAGGCTCAAATTATAAATGTCGTTTTAGTTTTTAACATAATTTTCTCTTGAGAAACCATAACCAGTCTGGCCTAGAACTTGTGACCTTCCTGCCTCAGTTCTGTGATTAACTACTGCTCTCAGTTGTTTAATGCCACTCTCCTGGCTCAGGGACAACCTATGCACTCAGCACCTCTGCATGTGTGTCCCAGTTCGGCAGAACTGCCACTGTATGCCCAGGCAGGTGCTGGTGCTGACCAATGTGGCATCGCGTTCCATTCAGATTTCCTCAGTGTCAGGCCCTTCATGAGGACATACAACCTCACTCTGTCCTGTCTGCTTGTCTTCAGAGTCAGCTTGTGCCAGTATACATAACCATATATACTTCTGACTTATTTTTCTAAAAAATACATAGTTTATTTCGTGTGTGTGTCAGGGGTGGGGGCACGTGTATGACAGCGTGTGTGGAGGTCAGAGGACAACTGTGGGGTTGGTTTTCTCTTCCCACCACGTGGGCTGTCGGGCTTGGCAGCAGGCACTTATCAGCTGAGCCATTTGGCTGGGTCCTTTCCACTTTTCAGAACAACTTGGGAGTTGAAAGGTAACTGAGTCCACAGTCGCTGTCTCCTCTGCAGTCACCATGTCCTTGCCTTAGGTGCAGGACAACCTCCAGAAGAGAAGCTACCAAGATGGCCAGGGAGTGAGAAAGTTAAAAACAGAAAAAGCATAGAAAAAAACCATCTAAATTTCTGGGAGATTTTAGAACTGATCTGGGTCCACAGTGACTGGACTTATGGGGAGGCCCCTAGAACAAGTGAGAGTCTTGGGGTGAATAACTGGGCTGGTTTCCAAGGGAAAACGAGAGCAGAGAAACCTTACAATTCTTTAGTCACCATCTCCGTCAGAGGTGTCTACACCTCTCTAGAGCAGACTTTATTGGAGTCCTTGTATACTCTCCCCTCGGCTCACAGAAGGAGAGGCACAGTGTGGGCACTGGTGGGGAGAGCAGCCTGGGTCACTCACTTTTGCTCCAGTAAACAAGGTCAATGCCTTGCAGACTATCTTCCTACCTGGGTTTGTTTTCCCACTAGAAATTTTTATCAAATTTGACACACAGTAGTATGCACCAGTCATCTTAGCACTTTGAGTCTGCAACAGGAGGATCATGGGTTTGAGGTCAGTTTGGGCTATAAAGCAAGACAGTCACGACCACACAGAGAAGCCCTGTCTCAAAAAAACCCCAAACCAAACTAACCAAAATGTGACTTTTCTCCCAGCAACTGCTGAGTGTCTGTAACTTTTCACCTAGAAGTCGGCCTTTGCAAGCCATGCCCACCCATTCTGTTGTGTCCAGAATGTACAGCTTCACAGCCGCTCTCCCTGACTTCTGGCTTTTATGACTTTCCTGTCTCTTCTGGGCCTTTCCCTGAGCCTTGGAGGAAGACAGTATGGCAGGGATATGATGGCAAACATTCTAGTCACTTACTCTGCACTTTGGTCACCTGCGGTTTTGTGTTACTTCTGTCCACTACAAAGAGCAGGTTCTCTGACAGAGGCGTGAACGGCGTTAATCTAAGGGTACAGGGTCAGTGTTTAGAAGCCAGTTAGACACTGACAGCTTAGCAAACTGATGGCAGTAGGTTTTCCCCAGCATCTATGAATGCTTTAGCCTCTGGTTCTGGCTCAGGTTTACAGAGAGAGCCCTCTTAGTGGACAGGCTTTCAATCTAGTCAGATAGCTACAGGCTATCCCGCAGGATATCCATGCCCTTACTGTACCACTGGGCGTCTCTTGCTGGGTGAGTGGTTACTGTTGCTTGTCTGGCACCTTGCAACACTATGCAAACTGGCAATCAAAGAAGCTTCTAGCTCAGGACCAGCTTGATTTAAGTCCTGTGATCAAAGTGTGTGGTGCTGTAAGCAAAAGGGTCTCATCCTCACATTCTGGTTGGCGACTAAGTACTCTGTAGCTATTGCTGTAAAGAAACACCACGACCAAGGCAACTTACAAAATAAAGCAACTAATTAAGAAGGGGGGGGGGGCTCCAAGTTCCAGAAAGTTAGAGTCCATGGTGGTTATGGCAGGGAGCATGGCAGCAGGCAAGTGTGATGTTGAAAATCCATTCTCATTCAGACCAACACAAGAGGGAGGACTCCTGGACACCTCTCCTCCAGTAACTTGAAGGGACGTACTTCATGCTTGGGACTAGTTTTTGTCTGATAGTCAATGGTTTCTGAGAGAAGTATTAGTCTCCCAATGCAGAGAAAGTCTAATGAAACTCTACACCCCCACCCCACCCCACCCCCTTATAAAATAGGTTTCTATAACGTGGGGTGGTTCAGGTTCTCAAATACTCTTGGGTCTCTCTGTCTCTTCCTGGGGTTCTCACACCTGGGTCCTGGCTGGTATCTCAAAGTGGGGATGAGGAGATCCACATAGTTTTAAACACCGAAGCGATGCTTGTTTGTGGAAACTGCTCACTCCTTAAGCTTTGGAAACACAATCTTCCAGCTCTAGTTCTAACGTAAACCGCCCGTGGATGTCTAAAATAACAGCAGCCCAACTGAACACAGTGGGAAGCCTGCACCAGAGGTTCCTTCTCGCAGAAGCAAACCCGGCCTTGTCCCCAGCAGAGCTGCCAGGCTTCCCTGTTCTAGTTCTGCTGGTCCCGATGACTTCGTTCATAACTCTGGATACTGAGACAGGAGTCTCCCGGGACTGTTGGTCCCTTCACGCAGCCCTGGGTGCTCAGCTAGTGTCATGGTGGCTAAGCTGTCATAGCTTTCGGGGTCACCAGCTTCCTGGGGCACAAGGTTCTGCTGATCGTCACATCAGCTGGACACAGGTGTCCCTGGAAGGGGACACAGCCAAGGCTTGGAGAACTTGAGAGTAGAAAGTGGGTGACAGATACTAGCTTCCCAGACAGGATTTTGGTAGTTTAAAAAAAAAAAATCAGAAATACTAATTTTTTCTTTTCTTTTTTGTTTTCTCCCCCCCCCCCCACTTTTCTTGAGATAGGGTTTCCTCTGTGTACCCTAGGCTGTCTTCGAACTCACAAAGATCTGCCTGCCTCTGCCTCCTGAGTGCTGGAATTAAACGCATATGCCCCCACTGCCAGGGAGAAATACTTATTATTATTATTATTTTGGTTTTTTGAGACAGGGTTTCTCTGTGTAGCCCTGGCTGTCCTGGAACTCACTCTGTAGACCAGGCTGGCCTCGGATTTAGAAATCCACCTGCCTCTACCTCCCAAGTGCTGGGATTAAAGGCCTGCCCGGCTGAGAAGTACTTATTTTTAAAAGATGTAAAGAGATACAAATGTCTATGTCAGAAAGGAAGCACTTTAATGAAGGGAGAGGTTTTCAGAGTTAAAGGTTTTTATTGTTGAGGTATTCATTGAGTCGCATATTTCAACTAAGAGGAATCAGGGCCCTAGGAACCTGCAGTACATCACCTGGATGCTTTACTTACGGAGACAATGCTGTCAATCACAGTTGCTGAGAAGCGCATGTTTTCAGTGATTAGAATAGAGGCCAAAAATAAAACTACCCAGAACTAAGATCAGAGTCTCTTCTATAGCCCAGGCTGGTCTCAATTTATAGCAATCCTCCTGCCTTAACTTCCTAAGTCCAGGATTACAGGAATGAGTCACCCCACCTGGCTACAATTTTAGTATCTAATTCTCAAGTATATGTTGAGTGTCACCAGTCAATCACAGCAGAACCAGAGCACAAACAGCCTCACACTGAGAATGTCACTTTGACAGGAGTACCTCCAGACCCCTGTCACCCAAACCCACATACCTGGAAGTGAGGGCTGGAAACACATTTGGCTAACTGTCGGAAAAGAGGTTCCATGATCTTCACAAATTCTGATGGTTCAATTACATCTAAAATTTCTTCTAATTCATTTAAGAACATTACTTCTTTTGGACTGTGAGTCTTTGGCCAGTATTTGAGAAGTGCCATTACCACCTACAAAACAGTAACAGCAAACAGAATGATTTCACAAGATGCCAAGATATTCTAGGGCAATGGTTCCCAACCTGTGGGTCACAACCCCCACAGGGTCGAATATCAGATATTCTGCATATCAGATATTTACATTACAACTCATAACAGCAGCAAAGTTACAGCTATGAAGTAGCAACAAAACAGATTAAGGTTTAGGGTCACCACAACAAAGGGAACTATGCGAAAGAGTTGCAGCATTAGGAAGGCTGAGAACTCCTACCCTAGAGGAAGATGGCATCCCCGCTGCCAAGCAACACGTGAGACGGTGGTGAGAATCATCACCATGCCTTTCTCTCATAAGCAGTCTAGTTTTACATGTTTTAATGTGGTCCATCATCTCTGAATGAAGACCAGTGTGTGTTCTAGAGTAGAAGCAGCCAGTTTTGACACTGCTAGCAACATTCAGACGTATTGCACCTCTCAAGTTAATTGACTGCTTGTGCACATATACACACACGCAGTTTACAATTTTGTTAAAATACATCAAAGGCATGCTGTCAATGAAGCAGATGTAAGCCCACATCCACTGTAGGTGCTGGAAGAGCGGGGTTCCTGATGCTCTCTCAGTGCAATTACCCAGAGCCTACGAATGAGTGGTAGAGAGTGCTTGGTCAGGAGGAGGCAGCAGAGGCCTCTACTGGGAGTAGAGCTACCTTGTCTGAGGACCACCCCCTATCCTGGAACTCACTATGTGGTTGGCTGGCTGGCTTCAAAGCCAAGAGATCTGCCTGCCTCTGTCAGCTTCCTGAGTGCTGGTATTAAAACATGTGCTACCTCCCTCACCTAAAGTTCTACAATCTTTAAACACTGTTATAAGTTCTATCCTTTGAACAATGTAATTAGGACAGAATCATACACACACACACACACACACACACACACACACACACACACACGTTTATTGCTATGAAGAGACACCATGACCACAGCAACTCTTATTATTATAAAGGAGAACATTTAGCTGGGGTGGAATTACAGTTTCAGAGGCAAGAGCAAGGCAGCATACATGCAGACACGGTGCTGGAGAACGAGCTTAAAGTTCTCCATCTTGATCCACAGGCAGCAGCAGGAGAGTGTCACAGTAGCCTGAGGATCTGAGACGTCAGAGCCTGCCTCCACAGTGACACACTTCCTCCGACATGGCCACACCTCCTAACAGTGCCACTCCCTATGGGGCAAGCATTCAGAGTCTATAGGGGGCTGTTTCTCTTAAAGCCACCATAGTTGTGGACTGCCTTTTTTTTTTTTTTTTCTTAAAATTAGGTCTGTGTCTCCGTATCTCTCAACACAGACAATAATTAAATGTGAAGGACAAAGGCCCATTTCTCTCGACTTGAGGACATACTGTTTTACTTTCTCTGACTCATCCAGAAATGCTTTCTCACAGTATTACGAATGGACTCTGTGTGTGTGCGCACGCGTGTGCGTGCGTGGCAGCAGTGCTGGGCTGTGTCTCCCTCTCTACCACAGATGACAGTGGTGACAGGATGTGGAGCTAGCATCCCTGCATCCCTGCATCCCGTCACAGGACCAACACTGCTGAGGAGTCCCTGTGTGTGCTGCCCTTCAGAGCACACTGCTTGTCACTCACTCGTCACTTCCAGCTCAGAATCTCCCTGCTTAACAAGTCACTCTTTCCATGACTACAAGGGTAAAGGCAGGGTGGGCATATAAGAAATATTCATATACAATAATTCTGCTTTGGTACTCTGGGTATTTAGGCTCTGGGACATTTTTTCCTATTACCTATCATAAAACTTAAAATTTCATTTTACAAGTTCTCCTAATTTTAGAATCTGACAAAAATCTACAACTATCTTGAGCTGGGCATGGTGTTGTGTCTTTGATCCTAGACCTCAGGAGGGAGAGTTAGGCAGATCTCTGTGAGTTTGAGGCCTGTCTGGTCTACATAAGGAGTGCCAGGCCAAGCAGGGCTGGTAAGACTCTCACAAATAAAGTCTTTCAAAGAACACATTTCTAAAGTGTATTACTCAATGACTTCTCTCCTACTATTAGGTCAACCAGGCATTTCTTGCATACCTACTTTGAATCAGAACCACGGTTAGTACAGAAGACAGGAAGTACTTTAGACCTGCACTGGCCCTCCAGCTGTCGGTGGCTTTTTAAAGTCAGGTAGGAGCTGCACAGTACCACCGATTTCGACTGCTTTGCTGAAAAAGTCAGTTTCTGACCCAGGATCACATTGGTCTCTTTCTGATCTCTGAACTACTGTGAGCGGCACCCAGTTTTCTGGGCTGTGTGTAAGAAGGGCAGGGCTCTGCAGAAGGCGTGCGTGTCTACACATGCTAACGCTAGACAGCAGCATAGGCTCCAGGCTCAGGGCATGCTCTCAACAGGGATAGGGCGAGCATGTCAGTGCCCCTGAGTCCTGGGGAGCCTGTCCTGGTGTATCTAGGAGCAAAGCAGTGGCTGCCAAGACATGTGGGTCATCCCATTAGCTGAGGGAGTCAGGCAGATGAAAGGAGACAGTTGTGTAAAATCTCCCATGAGCCTCTAGCCTGGCAACAAAGAAAACAGTTTCTATGTCTAGTGTGCCCAGGACACTTTAGAGTACATGAAAAATATCAATTCCAGGGTCAGCAAATGCCCTTTATAGACTGCAGGCTTTAAAGGGAACACTAGATGGGCAATTCTGACTGTCAGCTTGATTGGATTAAGAATTGCCTAAGGCATTAATGAGACACGCCCAAGGGTTTCTGCTTTGGGCTTTTGCAGAGAGGATTAACTGTAGGGAAGACCTGCCCTGTGTTGGTGGCATCATCCAGGAGGTGGAGTTCTAGCTGAAGTAATAACTGAGAAAGGAGAAAGGCAGCTGGATTCTGGACTTCCCTCTTTCCTGATCTGTCTGGATTCAAAGTGTTTAAACGATGTGGTCCTGCAGCTGTCAGCTCTGCTGTACTCTCAAACCATGAACTGGACTCAATCTTTCCTGTAAGTTGTCTACTGGCGAGAATTTAATTGCAGTCACTGACATGACTTGTAAAGCAATTCCACACGGAGCCCCGGGGCAGCATGTGCGGTTCATGTATGCTGAGTGTACACACTCCTTTCCAGTTCACACTTCCAACTTAAGTCTTCAGTGCTAGGCAGCACACCTTTAGTCCCAGCACTTCTTGAGAGGCAGAGACTGGCAAATCTCTGAGTTTGAGATCAGCCTGGTCTACAGAGAGAGTTCCAGGACAGCCAGAGCTACACGGAGAAACCCTGTTTCAAAAACCAAACTAAACCAAACCAACCAACCAATCACACAACCAACCAACCAACCAACAAAACACAAAATGAAGTGTTCACTTGTAAATCAGACACAATGGCCTTTACATTTTCATAAAATATAAACTTCAAAGGAAGAATGTACCAGGTGAGAGTCCAAATGCTTTGAGTATATTGAAAATGAGCTCTGCTTTCTGCAGCTGGACAGAGATATCTTTTCATCATCTGTCAGTAGATGTCATCTGTCAACAGGAACTACTAAACAACAGCTTGGGGTGGACAAGTCACACTGGGTGTGTGGGACTTCGGCTTGTTTGTGCAGGGCCCTGCCCACGGCTGGCATCCCGTGTTTACGGTACAACAGCATTCAGTCTCGACTCCCGCAGCTAAGCTCACTCCCCAAGCTGCCTGTCTGTCATTACACCGCATTAGTGGGACTGAAACCTTTACAACTGTCACCTGAGTTCATGTTATGCTCAGACAGATGAGGAAAGACAGTCAATCTGGGTTAAGCAGGCCTGGGGTCAGGCTGGGACAGGGCCCAGATGGCAGAGGTGCTTTGGGTGGGAGGACCCTGCCTGAGGCAATGTGGACTAGCACATGGTGAGCTCTTCAGTCATCAGACACACACGAGGAAAAACCACGGGAGAAAGCTCAGTGTACATCCCCCCCCCCCCCGCCTCTCTTTCCTTTGACTTCTGAATGTAAAGGGGTGGTGGGAGCAGGTGGCATTTCTTTTCTTTTTAGAAGTAAATTATTATTTGTGGGGTGAGGTGTGGGGGAGAAACCGGAGCAATCACGCCAGCGTGCTCAGGCATGTGAATGCCGCAGAGGGAGAGGGTGTCTGATTGATCCCTGGGAGCTGGAGTTATAGCTATAGCCTGCTGTGAGCCATCACCTGGGTGCTGGGAACCTCTGACGGACAACAAGTGCTCTTAAACACTACTGTCGCCCTAGCCAGCTTTTCCTCTTCTAAATAGAGTCTTGCTGCATAGCCCAGGCTGACCCCACACTCAGAGTCTTCTGTCTACCTCAGCCTCCTGAGCCATGGGCCTGGCTTGAACTGTATGCCATAAACAGATGAACTGCATGGGCTACGGACTGTAGCTTAGGTTCTTTCTAAAGCCAATTTGGATGCTTACATCAGACAGGAATGACTTTGCCAACCATGCCTACGTTTATTGATTGATTTTTTTTTTTTTGTGGAGGTGCTAGGCGGAATTAAATTTTTAAAATTTAATAAAGATAAAACACCAAAAGAAAAAAAATAAATTAGGAATCGAACCCACAAGACAGTAGTGTAGCCCTCACTTGCTCTTCAGTGATTGTAAAATAACAGCTCTAACTGAGATAAACCTTCCAGAGCACCACAACCACCCTCTAGAGTGCAAGTGATCCCTACTCTTGCTCAGGCCACACCTGCGCCTGTGTCAGGACAACTGCTGTCCAATGTGGAGCGCTCAACGGGGCCCAGGTTGGTGCCCACAGCCGCTCAAGGGCCATGTGCCATGGACTGTGGGGCAGTATGGGACAAGCTTGTTATACAAAGCCTTCATTGCGGTGAAGGAACTTGTCACCTAACCACCACAACTGAGCCTCCAACCCAGGAGTAAGATGAGCTTCCGACAACCTGAAGAAAACAGGGCCGACTGTAGTGAAATGCAAACCATGGCAGCTGCTCAGGGAGAGACACAGCAGACGGTCATGGTCCAGATTGAACACTTACTGGTTCAGTGAGGGTGCTGTCCTTCTCTAAAAACTGCACGACACAGTACGCCAGCTGAAAGGGAGGGAAGAGAGTATGAGGTGGTCGCTTCAGCTCGGAAACGCCCTTCTAGGATGACCCTCAACCACCCTCCTCTGGGAAAACGGCCTGAGGTGACTGAGATGCTCCATGTCCCACCCTCTCTGAGAGATACTTTCAGAGAAATACCTTTGGGACTGATGCCCACTGGATAGTTCTTCCCCTATCTGTTTGTGACAAATTTTATAGCTGTGTGTATGTGTGTGTGTCTGTTTGTCTTTAGAAGATCCGAGTGGACAAGTAATATGACATCTGGAAGGTTTTAGTGCAGGGTCCTACCAGAAATCTCTCGACTCCTCTTATTTGTCCTTTGAGATAATCTTGATGTGTAGCCCAACGTTGCTGCGAGCCTCAGGCTCGGTCTCCGAGCACTGAGATTAGATGTCTCACGCCAAGCTCCTTTATGAATTACTACCACTCAAAACGAGTGTGATAAAAGACAAGCAGAACCACTACTGTGTGATGGCAGACAGAAAACACGTGAACTGTCTCTCAGGAGGACAGCACACTGAGTCAAGGAGAGAACATACTTTCTTGTAATGTATCCGCACCACCCGCTTCCAAGGACTGCTGGAGAATGGAATCCTGTTTAATTTTTAGACAACGTCCTGTTATATACAGCTCAAGTTGGCCTCAAACTCATGATTTCCTGCCTCAGATTCCTGAGTGCTGGATCACAGATATGAGCTCTATGCCTTGATAAAAATCTTTGTTGAGATGGAACCTGAGACCTGGCATGTGACAAGCAAGTACTGTTCTATGATGCCCACAGCCCTTCCATGTGCTTTCTTAAAAAAAAAAAAATAATTGATTGGCCGGGTGGTGGTGGCACATGCCTTTAATCCCAGCACTTAGGAGGCAGAGGCAGGCGGATTTCTGAGTTCGAGGCCAGCCTGGTCTACAGAGTGAGTTCCAGGACAGCCAGGGCTACACAAAGAAACCCTGTCTCGAAAAACCAAAAAAAAAAAAATTGATTTATCTTTATTTTATGTGCAGAGTGGTGGTTTGCCTGCATGTAAGTCTGTGTGAGGGGGGTCAGATCCTGGAGTTATAGACGGTGCTGTTGGGTGCTGGGAATTCAACCTGGGTCCTCTGGAAGAGCAGTCAGTACTCCTAACTGTTGAGCCATCTCTATAGCCCCGCCATGTGCTTTGTGTGTGTGTGTGTGTGTGTGTGTGTGTGTGTGTGTGTAATTAAAGTCTTAAAAAATCCTTTGTTCCTTTATGTGTGTGAGTAACTCTGTGCACCACGGCTATGCAGGTCTACAGCAACTAGAAAAGGCTCCACCGGAGCAGGGGTTACAGTTGGTTGAGAGCTGCCTGTGGATGCTGGGAAATGAACCTGGGTCCTCTGGAAGAGCAGTCAGTGCTGAGCTAACTCTCCAGCTCCCTGTCCGTGTGCTCTTAATGCATAATGGAGCCCTACTCTGTGTCTAGCCGTGCAAAGGATTGTGGGTTGCAACCAACGGTGGCCACCTCCTTGAGCCTCAACATAGCTCAGTTCTGTCCATGGGAGAGCAGATCCAATGCAAACAGATGGAAACAAGTCAGGGCCAGCCACCCACTAAGGTGGCAGCACAACTACACCCTGAGCCCAGCAGGTGGCTTCTACTGGTGTCAGAGCACACTACTGGCTGTGGCTATCTGGCTTCTGCCTCTAGGGCATTAGGTTTAGATCACACTGTAAGAAACCTCCTTACAAGCCGGGCGGTGGTGGCGCACGCCTTTAATCCCAGCACTCGGGAGGCAGAGGCAGGTGGATTTCTGAGTTCGAGGCCAGCCTGGTCTACAGAGTGAGTTCCAGGACAGCCAGGGCTATACAGAGAAACTCTGTCTCGGAAAAAAAAAAAAAAAAGAAGCCTCCTTACAAAGCTGGGTCCCCTAGTCTCTGTACAATCTACACTCCAGAGAATCCCCTGAATTTCTTTCTTTTTTGTATGTGTAAAAGTGTGTGTATGAATACCTGTGGAGGTGAGAAGCTGACATGGTGCTTTCCTTGATGCTTTCCAGCCTGTACCACTGAGGTCATGCTTCTCTCGCTGAACCAGGAGCTAGCTACATTGCTAGTTTAGCTAGCCAGCTTGCTTCTGGGATCCTGCCTCTACCTTCTGAGGTTGGGAGCACGGAGGCTGCCACATCTCTGCCATTTACATGAGTTCTAGGGTCTCAACCCTGGTCCTCATACTTGATGGCAAGCAGTTATACGACTAAGCCATCTCCCACCCTCTTCCAAATTTCTTATGAGGACTCTCTGTCCCGGACTTTGACATACTGCCAGAAGCCTGTTTTCACTGTGGTACAGTTATGGGAAGGAGGCATTCTCATAAACAGCTGGCCTGCTGCAGAAGCGGGCAGCTGTGCTCAGTTGGCTTTACCTGGGGATGGTAGACACTCAGGGACTTCACTTTGTGCAAGGGCAGCAACACCTTCAACAGGAAAATCTTGTGCTCTTCCTTTAGTGGTAAGGCAAATCCATTAATTATACTGTGAAGAGAGAATTCAGCTTGAGTATTTACACATTCCAGATTATAATCAGAAACGATGCTTTCTCTTAGCTTTTCTTTTCAGCATGAAAAGCCAATGGGCAAAATATTTACTTCAGAATAAAGAGGATATTAATAGGAACAACCACAAAATGGCCTTCCAGGGAGCTTGGCCACTTTTAGTGTTTTTGCTATGGGCCAGGAGTCCCAGCACAGGGTGGGGTGGGGGTGGGGCAGCTGGGCTGCAGGAGCTCCCAGAGGCAGACTAACTCCTAAAGCTGCAGTGGATTAAACAGCTCAGGGGGGACCCAGTTCCAGGTCCTCCCACCCAGCACTTTTTAAAAAGACTTTTGCATTCCAGATCATTATCCTAGCATGGCCCAGAGTCCCGTCCCCTCCCAGTGTGCAGGCTGGGTGTTATGCACTCTGTAGGAAAGGCACGCCATAGAAGGACCTCCAGACGGAACATGAGCTGCCTTATCCATGAGGTTTCATGACTAGGCAAAGCAAACAAATGTTTCTCAGAGCTAGAGAGAGTCAGAGCTGGTAACTTGGTCCTCTAGGAGTCAAGGGTGGTGTGCACATCTGGACGGGGAATCCTGGGTGAACCCTGTGCTGGAGGCAGGGTTGAAAAGACAGCGTGGTAAGATTCACATGTAACACGGCTTACACCACTCCTGACACACGGCAGAGGGCAGCAGCAGGAGGGAACTGAGCTTTCTTCCTAGTTAACAGAAGAAGCTTGTCCAAGTTCATGTAACTGGGAAGGGAAGCCCTGAGCCATGCTAAGTAAGCATGCTGTGAGGGGCAGAGCCATCTGAGGTCTGGCACTTTTTCAAATCACATCTAAAGCAGCGACGTGGGAGGGACCAGACCAACTGAACAACAGTTTCTGTGTGTGTGTGTGTGTGTGTGTGTGTGGTGTGGGAGGGTCCAGGGGAGGGACACAGACTGCAGGTTCAGAGGCTAGAGAAAGCCACCACATTCTGTGTACACACGGGATGACTTCAGGGTAACTCAGAACACTCAGCTGCAGATGCACATGGATTCCCTAGAGGCACTGCAGAGAAGCATTGTCCAGATGACCTACCTCTTAGCTCCAAGTAAATCTTCTGGGAAACAGTGGGTCAGGGAATCTTATGTTACAGTTACAGACTTTTTAAAAAAATTTATGATAGTAAATAAAAACTTTACTCAGATTAAAATGATAAAAACTGAATTATACTATACATATGAAAGGCCAATAAAATGATCCAATTTAAAATATCAGCATTTACTCAATCCCTCAAATATATACTCTTCAAATACGCTTGTAATATCAACCTCTTCTCTAACTACTTTTAACACTACTCGAGGGAAAATCAACTGAAACTCCATAGTTTCTGTAGTCATGGACTGAGGCGTGTGAGAGGGCTCCGCCTATGGAGCCACAGAAACGGAAGCGCGATGATGTTATTTGGTGCAAGTCCGCCAGCCTTCCTTCTCACATCAAACTCTGTTTCCATTCCTTCAGGAAACAGCTCTGCTCTGGGGTCAAGCTAGCGTCAGCTGCCCACTGCCAGGTCCTGAGACTCACCTCCCCAGGATCTCCAGTAACTCTGCTATGCCATTGTGGTGCTCTGTCTCGTAGATAAACCTGCAACACACAAAGCACCACAGTGTTAGACACGAAAGAAAGGCTAGAGGAGGAGCTGGGCCAGCGCTCAGGCATCTTAGAAGACAGCTGCTCAGGTGTTTTCAGAGTCCATGAAATCCTCAAAGCCTGGGGTGGAGTACCCTGAGGGCAGATAGCTTGTGTAGCGCACATTTCTTCAATATTTTATTCTGAAAAATTTCAGGTATCCAGGAAGCCAACATCTGCGTTTCAACCAGTAGATCAGACAATGGCAGTTTGCACCGTTGTCTGATTGGTCGTGTTTACATCTGTCCAGCCTTCCATCCTACCCACCTGCTAACCCATCAGCATAAGGTGAAGTCTTACTCAGTTTTAGAGCCTCTGATACCAAGCACTGCCCCCTGCACCCCCGTGGCTAGAAGTTCCTTTTTGAACACCACATTGTCTCTCCCTACCAGTTCTGAGCCTGCTTCCTCAGGTGGCTTCCATGTGCAGTCCGCTTCTCCTCTGTGCCTCTCTGTGCCTCTGTGCCGTCTGCCTGTCATACCCAACACGGGTGTCTAGAGAGTTCCTGAAGCATGCACCCCACTCTCTGTGTCAGTTTGTCTCCCTCTAGACAGGGACAAGGACTTCCTGTGAATGAGTTCCTGGTGCTAAGACAAAGCCTGCCATCTGTGTGCTACTTTAACATGTCTGGTAAGTGAACTGGGAACAAGAGTAGGTAACAGGAGAATGTCCACCCCCAGGAGTCCATGGAGACTGAACCCAACTACTTGACTGCTGGCAGCCTACAGCACAGGGCAGCACAGTTAGGACACATGATGGTGGAGGAGGCCCTTGCCCATCAGAGGGAGCACCTCCCATAAAAGCTGCTTACTGGTTTCTGGCCCAAATCCCAGTATCCTGAGACAAACTGGCTAGCAACCTTACGGTGCAGTATCTAGACCTGAAGAAGTCTGAGGAGCAGGTTGAGACAGCTCTGTATTCTCAGATGGCCGGGCCTCCCTGGTGGCTTGCACTAAGCCCCAGGAGGCTTCTGACAGACTGACAGACTCATCAAGGTGAGGCATGCAGTGGTGTGTGTGTGTGTGTGTTTGGGGGAGGGGAAAATAGTCTGTGATCCAGGTGAGATAGACTGGTGGGCCAGACAACATATGGGCAGGTTCTAAGGCTCCTGGCAGCCATACACAGGAACCTTGAGATGTGCTTGGTTGTAGTCTGAAGGTATGGCTGTGAGGGGTCAAGCCAGAGGAACGGCTGTGGTGTGGCCCAGTTGGGCAGTGGTGTGCACACTTTTGACCCCATCACTTGGGAGGCAGAGGCAGCTGGGTCTCTTGAGTCTGAGGCCAGCCTGATGTACAGGGAGTTCCAGGACAGCAAAGGCTACACAGGGGACCCCCCCCCCCAAATGTGTGTCCCACCTGCTTCCTGCTGACCTCTTCCTATTCCTGCCCGAGAGCACAGAGCTGGTGTGTTAGCCAGTCTGTGCAGGGCAGTGTAGGAAAGTGACTTACTGTGTAACACTCAACCTGACAGTCTCCTCCTCTTCACATATTTTACCTCAAGTGTTTAAAAGACAGTTACCACTCCAGCTGGTGCAGTACCCTTGCACACAGCTCATGGGACGGCCAGGCCTTGCTTCTTGTCCTTCCTGTCTGTTACAGGAGGATGGTGGTCGCTGTAAGCCACGTGGCTTCCCGCATTAATACCACGTATGGAGGTGTCTTCGTTCTAAGCACTTTTAACTATGTAAGAAAGAACGAAGGGGACTAGCTCTGCCGTCACAGAGAAGACTGTCTAGAGAGCCAAGCTGACCACGTGGAGCAAGATCCTTCCTTTACAGCCCAAACCGGAATGAACTGAACCTGGGCTGGCTGCTCAGAGCACTCTCCTGTATGACGCCCTGCACCTACCAAGGGTGGGATCTACCTCCCTTCCTGGGGAGCTCAACTGTCCGGAGCCTTGCCTAGGATGGAAGTAGGAGGCACTCATTTCTAGGTGAATCTCTGAGGAGACTGGCGGCTTCTCCTGATTCCCTCCTGGAGGCAGTTAGTGTTCACAGAAGTAGCACTGAAACCCACCTGGACAGGCAGCACATGCCTATAACTACAACAGTGGGAAGCTGGAAGCAGAACTAGTGTCTGTTCAAGGTTAGTTCACACTATTAAGAACAAAACAAAACACAAAAACCAAAAACTCTCAAGGCTCCAAGCATGACCAGAGAGGCCATGTGGACAGAGATGCACAGCACTGAGAAGCTACTCAGGACCTTCCGGGCCCCAGACAACACCAGTTCTCCTGAGCCCAGGTCAAGGGCAGAACTGAGAGGAATAACAGGTGCTGATTTAAGCTTTGGCACGGGGTGGGGCAGCAAGGCTGAGTGCTCTCTGGCCTGGCTAGCCTGCTGTTTACCGCTTTTGGAAAGGCGGCACCGGAGTCGCTGTCGGCTCACGCTAACAGACTGAGCCAATGAGAAATAACAGGAGCCTCAGCTTAATGTTTCAGTAAGCGGAACCAAGCTGCTCGAAACTGCATTTCCTTACAAGATGTGGGTACAGGTTGAGAACTCCTTAACCAGAATGCTTTGGACCAGCTGTTTACAGTATCAGAGATCATCCGGACTCACATCTGCATATGTATGAGATATATCTTGGGATAGCACCCAAGCTGAAACCCGAAATCCAGTTATTGTATTCATTTACTCTTCACACAGAGCAACACTTTTAGGTTAAGCATGACTTTTAAGCACACACACACACACACACACACACACACACACACACACTCACAAATAGAGACAGGTTTCTTTATGCTGCCCAAGCTGGTAACTATTAGGCTCAGATGATGCTTCTGCCTAAACCTCCTTCATAGCTGGGTCTGTAGGCACGAGGCCCTGGCCACTCCTGCATTAACTATGACCCATCACATAAGGCAAGTGTGTAACTTTCCATTGTGGTATCCCCTTAGTGCTCAAAATATTCTAATTTTTGAGTGTGTGGATTTCTGGGTCAGGATATTGAACATACACAGTACTGCATTTCTATGATCTGGGAGATGTCCATGTGCTCTCTGACTCTTTTTACATGAAACAACAATAAAAAGACCCAGGTCGATTAGGGATTCTTAGTAATATGTTTGCTTTTGTGTGTATATATCAAGATAACTATATGAAAGATGCCCTAAGGGAGGAAACAGAACTACCACGCTGCAGCACTAGCCCTTTGGACAAAGAGAACGGAACCGAGTCATGCGCACTTATTCTGTGTAAGCAGCTGAGCCTTCAGCACTTGAGGTAAGACCCCTGACGTAGGAGGCCTGTCCACATACTCCCACATCTGTGGTTCTGCTGCCCGAGCAAAACCACCAGTCCCAGAGAAACAGCTCTACAGGCAAGGCCTGGTTTCGGGGCTAAGAGACTGGGATCTAAGTTGTGCTCACTGTGTAGAGAATGGCGTCAGCTGACCTTGTGAGGAAGCACAGCACCAGGAAGTAAAGACTGGAAGAGGACGTCATTCTCTGACTCATCAGCAAGCAGGGCCGGGCTGGGCTCCACCAGAGAAACACTATGTATTATAGAGAACCTGAAAGGCTCAAAGGGAAGCCATACAGTGAGGGCCCCAATATCACCATGTGCCATCAGGCAAAAGATGGGCCAGAGGGCCACTCGGGCTGCCAGTGTCACTCCCAGCTCCCCTTTCTGGGCCACTTTCAGTCCTGCTGCAGGCTGAGGCAAGGATTGGGCAGGCCAGGGCGCTGCCATGAGGGCCGAGGGCGCCGGTCCTGTGTCTACACACAAGCAGGTCTGGCCCACCAGACTGTGAAGCTTACTGATTATGTATCAGATGGGTATCACATCTCCATCACTGCCAAGATCTGTTACTTTTAGGCTCCTCTAGAGTCAGATGTCACAGCAGGAGGCCAACTGAAGAAACCAACAATTACCGAGTAATCTGCTCATGTAGTAAGCCCCCCAGGTACTAGTAAGAAAGAGCTGCACAACCTAGGCTGGGCAGAGTGACTCACACCCTCAATCGTAGCAGAAGTGGGAGCTCTGAGTCTGAGGCCATCCTAGTCCAGTGAGTTACAGGCTAGCCAGGGCGACACAGTGAGACTTCCTCATGAAAGAGCTACACAGATTCTTCCACCAGCACCCACTCTGTATCACTTGGGCGCATACAAAGCTGGTGTCACTGAGGCTGCCCTTGGGGAGTAGGAACCATGTCAGCTCATGAGGAAGGTGGTGTAAGGGCTCAAGGCAAGGCAGGGCAGCAGGACAGCCTGGGATAACACATGGTTGTACAGTCTGGGAGAGGCCAGACCCTGGAAGCACAGTCATAGTGTAGGCCGGCTGCACATGTTAACCTGTCAGCACCCGTCAGCAACAGTGACCATGAACATGTGAATGGAGCCTTGGCTCACTAGGACCTTGTTGTAGATGAAGCTGTGGCAATCCTTCTGCCTCGGCCTCCCGAGCCCTGGATTACAGAGGTACACCTGCATGTTCACCTGGGATAGTAGATCTTAAGACTTATGAGGCCTAGTCAGAGATGAGATGGGGTAGGGGAGGAGGGGCGGGTGGAGGTAAGACATCTGGGGTCACAGCCATCAGTGGACTTGGAGACTTTTGGTGTGTCCTTTCTGAGATGGGGGCCCCGGGGAAAGGTCTGTGGTCACTCTCTGGTCCTGAAAGCCCAAGTCTGGGCACAGATAGGAAAGCTGTCCTGTCTGCCAGCTGCCAGGCTCTCCTCTCTGTGTCTGGCTGGCCTTCAAACTGTTCACCTAATTCCCAGGTCCTCCCAGGCAAAGGCTGCTCACTTGTGTCCCTCCTCCTCCTTCCTGTCTTCTCTGTGACTGAGCATGAATAAGTAGGTAGCAAGCAGGTGCATGGGACAGAAGCGTCCATACTGTGAGCAGCTGGACAACTCTGTAGGAACCCAGCAAGGGGAGGGAATGCGGTGAGACACTGAAGTGGGTGGAGAGCATGAGGGGCAGGGTCACGAAAACGTGGCTCAGTTTCCCTCCCCTGGATGACAAGCACATGGGGACTTACCTATAAAATATATTATTGATCTGTTTCCTGATGTACGCGCGCAGGCCTAAGAACTTCCCATAAATTCTGTGCAAGGTCGTTTTTAGAAAGTCTCTCTCCCGAGGGTCCTCGCTGTCAAAGAGCTCTAGAAGCTTTAAGAAAAATAAAATGGCACTTAGTGACAGTGGCCACTCTGTCCTTACGGCTGTCGAGGAACACCTCGCTGGGAACTTACCTGCAATACAAACTTCTGATCAATATATTTCTTTGCTATATTGGGCTGGAAATCTGGAGACTCTAAAAATCTTAAGAAAAATTCATAAACAAGCTAGGAGGAAAAAAAAGACAACAGTGAGTCAAGTCACGTGGTACATCACCCAGGATTAAGTACACTGCTCTAATGCATTATCTGTTCAAACACTGGACTTGAGAAAAACCACACATGCATTCAAAATTAACACTGAACTGTGTGGCTTAGCATAATTATAACTGTAGATGGAATTCTTCTATTTAGTGAGAACCACACACGACTTCTTAAGTGGCATGCAGTGCTCTTCATGGCTTAGCTGCTACACCTGGACCATGACCAGGCTTGAGGGTGGAGCCTGCAGTCTGCCATCTACATGTCTCATGGAGTTCTAAGCGGACAGGAACTTTAGGATCGCCTGGGAGAGGAACACAAAAACACAGCCACTGAGCCACCACCTCACACAGTGAGCACAGTGGGCTAGCTAGCACGGACGGTCTATCACAGCTGTGTAGAAGCCAGACGCCTTGAGGGTGGAACATCTGGCTTCTTCCCAGGTTTCTCACTTTGCTTCCTTTCCTCACCAAGGACATACGTAAATGGTCTGTTGTGCTGGCCTCGAACCAGCGGCCTTGCGTCGTACAGGTGTCAGCAAGGAGCCTAGGATGCACAGGGCAAAAGTCCAACCCAGCTACTGAAAGCCAGGAGCACACCTGGGAAATGCTCTAAAGCCGTGCCGGGCAGTTTATATCCACTTGACACAGGCTGCAGTCATCTGAGAGGAGAGAACCTTGGTGGAGAAAAGGCTGTAAGTAAGCCTGGAGAGTGTTTTCTTAATTACTGATTGATGAGGAAGGGCCAGCCCACTGGGGGCAGGGGGAGGGGGGAGGGGGGAGGGAGGGGCTGGGGCGTGCTGCCTCTGGGCTAGTGGTATTGGGGTCTATAAGAAAGCAGGCTGAGCAAGCCATGGCAGCAAGCCAATACAACACTCCTCCATAGCCTCTGCATCAGCTCCTGACACCAGGTTCCTGCCCTGTTTTGAGTTCTTGTCCTGACTTCTTTTGATAATGAACAGTGATATGGAAGCAAAAGCCAAATAAATCCCTTTCCTCCCCACCTTGCTGTGATCATCACAGCAACAGCAACCCTGACTAGGACAGAACCTGAACTCAGTGTAAAGTTAGTATCGTCACTGAGGGCACACAAATCAGGCTATCTCTGTGGCCTGTGCAACGGGCCCATAAAATCAGCCAATCAATCACTCACACACTCATTCAATCTTTCTTGCTTCTCCCACTTTTCCTTTCCTCCCCCCTCTCTGCTTTGCTAAAAATTTTTCAGACCAGAGACTCCTTTAGATCAGAAGCCCATTAGCTATCAGTTAGAGAGGCCCTGGGCCACCACCCGCTCAGCATACAGCATCCTATCTGAGTTGCTGCCAAGTCCAGTACCTGCAGATGAGGCCAGGCTGCTTCTAACGTTGGTTCATCTTCTTCTGGGTCGAATTCTGCTCCCGTAGGATTGGAGGAGGGTGGCAAGGTTCGAAACATGTTAACTGCAAACTAAAACCCACATATTCCATGATCACAACCAGGATCCCTCAAGTACTAACACGAACATTCCAAGAAACATAAATAATCCTAGTGACAGATGCTTCCCATTCTATGTCGGTTATTGTCTTTCTGCTTTTCTTAAAACTCATGTTTACATGTGTCATCTTACGACAATACATGTGTCACCTTACAACAACTATAAACCCACCAGTGCCAGTTACAGTCCTGGGACCTGGTAACTGGTTTTCTGGTGATCCAAGTCCATTACCAATGGGTGGACTGATGAACACTTAGCTGTGATGTAAAGGGTCAGTCTCAAACAGAACGAGGACTCTCACTGCACAGACACTGGGACAGTTTTCATTCTCAGCTCTTTGGTTTGTTTTGACCCACTGCTCCCTCACTTCCGGTTTCTGCAGTCTTAGTGAGCATGATGTCTATCTGGGAGTCCAAGGGCCAAATGATGGCTATCTCCAAACACTTCCTCCTATAGACAGTACTAGGATACCTGGTTCTAAGAGTCAAACTGGGAAGAGACACATTTCTGAGAAGTCTGTCAAGCCACCATTTCTTTGTACGTGATATACTTGTAAAGCAGAGGCCCAGACTGACCAGCAAAGCTGGGTCCCAAGACACAAAAGCCAAAATAAAATAAAAAAAAAAAAAACACGGGCAGCAACATCAACAACTAGAAGCTGTATGGATGGAACAATGCCATACTGACAGACATGAAGACATACAGCGCTGAAAGCTATTCATCTGCCTAGGTAGCCTTCAGAGAAAGCACAGAACCGGAAAAAAGGCTCTACCAATAGCTGCAGTGTGGCAGAACCTTCCTCACCCGAGGCCATCTCCTACAGGGAACCCACAGAGACATTTACAAATTGAATTTGATCTGTTTGTTGTGTGCCTGCCATCAGGTGTCCCCTGGAGCTCACTGACTTGGGTACACTTGCTGGTCAGTGAGCACTGAGAGACCTACATACTTCCCAGCACAGGGGTCACAAATGCACACTTCTGGGTTGGGCTTCTTCATGCATGCTGAGGATCAGAACTCGGGTCCTCATGACTGCATGGCAGGCACTTTACCAAAGAGCTACTTGCCCAGCCCTGCATGCAGTCTTAAACATATGGTGAACAAATCTTGGATAAACTTGGTGCTTAGACGGCCCTTTAGTAGACACTCACAAACTTGCACAGAGCAGGTCCTCTGGAAAAGTGCACATTGGTCATCTTACTAACTGAACTAATTACCAAAAACTGCCAAAGATGGTTAAGCCATTGCCTCTCAGCTGTAATGCAATTACAGTCCTCACTGGGTCCCTAATCTAAGCTCCTGCACGGTGCTTCTCTGGAACGGTTATCTCCAATGCACTTGAATGGCAAGGACATGCTAGGCTGGTGTCTTTCATCCCCCTACCATACAAGGCGTTGTGAGACCCCGCAACCTTCACTCAGTAACTCTCAGGGGAACAAGGCAGAGCCTTGTTTTCTACCACTCCACAACCAAAGCTGCTCTCAAACAATGTCACTTCCCGCCAAAGAGATGCCTGCACATGGCATTTAAAAACCCATCCTTAAAATGATTACATTTGAATAGCTTTTCATTTTTACCATCTATTCAATGATGGTTGAATGCCTCTTATCTGAAATGCTTGCTACCAGAATTGTTTGTATTAATATTTATGTATATATATGAGGGTGGGATTCAGGTTTAAATGCTAAACTCATGTTTAATTTGTTCCTTAAACGCATACCTGGAGGTAAGTTAAAGCAAGTTTCCCATTAAATACACACAACATTGTTAGTGGGGCTAGGTCAACTGTAAAAATTTCCATTGTGGTATTAAGTTGGTACTCAAAAATTCGGTTTGAGTTTTCAGATAAGTATTTATTCTGCATGTTCTATTTTTCAAAATAAAATTTCACTTTATGTGTACAAAGAGGTGCCTGGGTGTATGTACTGCACAGCAGTGTGCCCTTGCCTGTGGAGGCCAGGAGAGGGCACTGGTTCTCCCAGATCTGTTGTCACAGATGGTGGTGAGCCTCCTGGTGTTGGGTATTGACTCTGGGTCCTCTGCAAGAGCCAGGAGGACTCTTACCCATCACTCCAGACGCCCAACTTACATGTTTTAACATAACGGTTGAAAAATATCAGGGAAGTAAAAATTTACAATCTTTAAAGGATATTAAATAAAGGAAACGTAGCTGCAATGTTTTAAAACAACTGTTCTTCTAACAATTCAGAGTATGTCACAGCTATTGTACAACTAAATGTGCAACACTACATTACGTCTGATAATGATGACATAGGACAGCCATTTTAGTGTATGAGTTTATTTAGCACGTTTAAGAGTAAAGAAGTCATACATGATAAGTGGTAGTTTGCAAGTCAGTTCAGTTAGTATATGCTTAGAAATAACAGTGGGAGGGCTGGAGCTGAGCTCGGCTGGCACAGTGCTTGCTTGGCAGGCAGGAAGGCACAGGCTCCTCCCAGCACATCATAAAACAGAGCACATGCTTGTAACCTCGTCTGGGGAAGGTGGAGGCAGGAGTGTCATAAATTCAGGGCCACTCTTGGCTACGTAGCCAGCCTGGGCTATAAATTTAGGGCCATTCTTGGCTATGTAGCCAGCCTGGGCTATAGGAGACTCTGTTTCAAACAAAACAGAACAGAAAACCAAACCATACCAAGTGCTTGCTGAGTATGCAGCGGCTTGGCAGGGGGGCTCCTGTCAGGCACAGGCCCTAGATCAATTCCCAGTACTGTAAGAAAGCAGAGCAGAACAAAGATGGATCAAGAAACGAATCTTAAGTTATTTACCATGGCCAACAGTTAGTTTGAAGTAGATTCTGGATGCTGTATTCCAAAATGTTTTATGCTGACAACCGTCAACATGAAGCTGTAAGTGTGGTCTTGTGAGCGGTGATACCCTGATTCCACCGTCAGTGTTCTAACACACTTGCTCTGTCCAGCAGCAGACTGATGTTTTTATTGGGATAAACCGTGAGGGAGTTAGGAAGGCTTCCGAATATCTGATCAATACACTCCACTTCCCACACAATGTAAGGAAGTGAGAAAGGCCACAGAGCCATCACTTATGCGACTACCCACAATCCTACCACCCTGTGCTCACTGCTGGCTCGGTTGGGGACATAGCTAAGTGTCACGGGGATGGGGTTTATTCTACTGTCCCAGAGACTGAACATACTAGGTAAAAATACACGACACTACGTCTTCTGATCCCGTGAGATGGAAGAGATGAAGGGAGCCCTGGAATGACCACTGGCAGGCTGTAGAGCCCAGCAGGAGGGGTAGTGTGAGCCTGCAAGACAGAGTCAGCCCCATAGAGAAGGGAGTTCTGCACCTGGAAAAGGTCCTGTCGTTGATTAGCACAACATCATGCAGCTAGCTATCTGATGTGAGAAAACTACCAGAGGCCATGAAAACACACAGAGGATTAGTGAGGACCCAGTACAGTTGGCGCTTTACCTGTAGGTTTCACGTCCTGGATTCAGTCAACCAAGGCTCAAAAATATCTGGCAATAAAACACTGCATCTCTGCTTAACATAGAGGCTTCTCTTTTTAAGTCATGGTCTCCTAAACAATACAGTGCATTGTTACACTGGATTCATTACCAGCACCTGCAGTGTTCTAGATAATGGTTCATTACCCAGCACCTGCAGTGTTCTAGATAATGGTTCATTACCCAGCACCCTTCAGTGTTCTAGGCAATGATTCATTACCCAGCACCTGCGGTGTTCTAGATAATGGTTCATTACCCAGCACCTGCAGTGTTCTAGATAATGGTTCATTACCCAGCACCTGCAGTGTTCTAGGTATAAGTCTTTAGAGATGACTTAAGCAGGAGGTAACTGAGAGTGGACAGGAAGATGTGGTTCTGCAGACATGCTACCCTTCATATAAAGGTCTTGAACATCCCCAGATATGCCAATTCCCCTGGACATTGAGAGATAACTGTACTAGGGGAGACTAAGAGTGGCTACTTCATCAAGCAGACCAGGAAAACTCCCAACCAATGGTGCCTTGGATTCAGCATCAGCAGAGCCTTGGCTTGGCAATGGAGAGTTGTTAGCTCTAGGCTGGTATAGCTCAGGCCCTGTTTAATGCTTAAAAACAAGAACCAAGAAGATCAAACTATTTCCATATTTCTTAATTACAACTCCAAATATGTCTCAAAAACATTAAAAGGAAAAACCTAAATATACAGGACTCAACAGGACAAAACTCACAGTTTCACACAGGTGAAGACCAGACAGATGGAAAAACAGGAAAACGAAAACAGAATAGGCCATTCATTTTGAACTGACCTGACTGATGTGGGTATCAGCAGACAAAACGTGAAGCTATCAACAAAAGACGCAACTCCAACTACCAGGGATGATTGCCACAGGGTGAGACAAGAGCTCTGAGGTGGAACTGACAGATGAGACACCAGAGGAGAGGCCGGGGAGCCTGAAGACAGGGAGGAAACCAAGAAACAGCGGAGAGCAAAGAAAAGAGTCTTACCAGGCCCAAATGCCTACCGTGACACTGGGATCCAATAGACAGCACTGTCAGAGAACAGAGTGCCAGAGACCAATGGCGGAGCATAGTGGAGTACAGAAACAGACTCACTAACACAGTCAACTGATGTACAACAACCATGCCAAGCTGCTCTATGGAGGCTGGCAGCTTCTCCAACGACGGGGCAGCTAAAAGAGGCTGCAGACAAACCTAAAGACCTAACAAAGAGCCACAGACCTAAATCAGAACGTAAACCTGTAACAAAATCACGGGGAAAACCTTTCTGGGTTCTTCAGCCATGGCTCCACTGAATTAGCAATTACAGGAATGAGTCAGAGCTGACTTCGTCTACACGAAGGACAGAGCTCTTGGGTGCTAACGTGCTGGCCCTGGAACCAGGAACAACAACATTCATGCACACCTGAGTCCAAAGCTCATCTACAAAGACAACAGCGTATGGCCAATGCTAGAAGCAACCCAG